TAAGGGGGGGGTAAGGTTTTTTAACTTTTTTTTGACCATTTTTTTTATATTTTTTTATATTAATGCACAACATCTCAAGAATATTGTGTCCAAATTTGAAGTCGATCCGAATAAAACTAACGGAGATATGAATTTTTAAGTAAGTGTACCTCGAACGTCGATTTCGCATACCTGCGCGGCGCGCTTGCCTGGCTGCCGTTTCGTGCTCTTTTGTTGTCCCCAAATTCCTTTCTTTGTCGAGCGATCTTCGTACGTATACAAAGGCGATGCCTAGCCTTGTGTACATTCGGTGTATAGTATACAGACCAGTTTAGAAGCATACGTTGAGCCGAACAGTTGTATACGTCCGTTAAAACTTCGTTTCAGTTTTCGGTTATATTTCGCTGTGTATTTGTTCTGTTTTTGCTGTGATTTGTTATATATCATCAATAAAATGCCAAAAAAGATTAATCGTGAAGATCGCAAAAGTAGTGGATCGTTATTGAATCGACCGAGAAAAATAGTGCCACCACATAAACGCAAAACAGATTCTGTAGAAGCGTCAAGTACGTCGGGTAAAAAACTGAAATCAGATATTGCTGCAGACGTGACAGAAGATCTTTCAAAACATTATCGTGTTATAGATTTTCTTCTCGTTTTTTCCACCGTTTCCACCTTAGTAAAGTGCAAAACATGTGACGGAAAAATTACATTCAAATCGTGCCGAAAAGAAGGTTTGGGTTTCAATATAAAAGTGTCGTGCGAAAAATGTAAACAATCTCACTATGTTCCGTCAAGTAACAGAATCGACGCTGGTATGTACGAAGTAAATTATCGGTTTGCTTTTGTCATGAGAATATTGGGCCTAGGATTGTCTGGTTGTGATAAATTCTGCGGTCTCATGGACTTTTCAAAGAATTTTTTATCAAAACCGACCTACAATACGTATATACAGAAAATGAGCCAAATTATACAAAATGTTGCAAATCAGTTGTTTTCATATGCTGTGGTAGAAGAGAAAGAAAAGACAAGTCAGGCAAACAATTTGGAAGATACAGACGAATTGACCGTTTCAGGAGATGGGACTTGGAAAAAAAGAGGTTTTTCGTCCTTGTTTGGCGTTTCTTCGTTGATCGGCCACTATTCCGGAAAAGTTCTCGACATTTGTATAAAAAGCTTATATTGTCATGCTTGCAAAACATGGGAGAACAAACTAGAATCTCAAGAATACGAAAAATGGCACGAAAATCACGTTAATAACCAAGAATGCCATGCAAATCATGTCGGTCCATCAGGAAATATGGAAGTTGATGCCATTGTACAAATGTTTAAACGTTCGACTAACCATGGAGTTAAATATCGCAATTATATCGGAGATGGCGATTGTAAAACTTATGGTGGTGTTTTAAGTGCTCAACCTTACGGAGAAGAATTTACAATTAACAAAAAAGAGTGTATAGGACATGTTCAAAAGCGCATGGGCACTCGTCTACGTACTTTGGTAAAAACAAGTGCAGTTGACACCGAAACTAAGGACGGAAAAATAGTAAAAAGAAAAAGTCTTGGTGGGAAAGGCAAGCTTACGGCTAAAATGATAGATAAGTTAACTGTATATTACGGTCTTGCCATCCGACGTAACCATCATTCATTAGAAAAAATGCGCGATGCCATTTGGGCAACTTTCTATCATTACGCCTCGACGGACAAGAACCCACAGCATGAGAAATGCCCGCGCGGCGATAATTCATGGTGTGAGTGGCAAAGGGCTGCAGCTGCAAATGATGTGCAGGATTTCAAGCACAGCTACACTGCACTTCCACAAGATGTTATCGAAGCCATTCAACCGATTTACCAAGACCTCAGCAAAGACTCACTTCTCCAGAGATGCGTTGGAGGTTTTACACAAAATAACAATGAAAGTCTTAACCAACTTATCTGGAAAATTTCTCCGAAATCGATCAGCGGTACTTCAACAATCGTGGAAATTGCAGCTTATGTGGCCTCAGGTGTTTTCAATGAAGGGGCATTTGCATTTCTGCAATTTATGCAAGACATGAACATCGGTATGGGGCCAAGTTCGCATGAATGGGCGCGCGCAACGGACACAGAGCGCATTGACAGAGCTAACAAAGATGCTGAAAATGCGAGCAAAAAAGCAAGAACTGAACGTAGGCAACAGCAGAAAGACGCATTAGATGCTGCAGATGAAAGCTCAGTACTTTACGGGCCTGGCATTGATGATTCGATGTAAGTAAACACAAAAAACTAGGAATTTTCAGTGTACAAAACTTTAAAGCGATTTTCCCACAAGTCGTGTTTTCAAAGTCGGTGAACACTTT